CGGGCGGCCTTATATATGGGCCTCATGTTTTGTGGAGGTACTTAACAGAGTACAAGGTATCCCCCTGTATATTATTCTGCCGCGCTTTAGTAAATCCCGAAATCCCCGCTTGCTCCCCTACTATAAATATCGTATATATTCTGCTTCAAAATGTCTTTTAAAGAATCCTAAATTTATTAATTTTTAATAATTATTTCTTACGTATACTTGATATTATATCATAATAATTTATTATTAAATTATTATCTATCAGTAATTAGTTTTTATAGTACTTAATCTTAATTGAATACTTTATATATATTTAAATATTAATTATTTCATGCCTCATAAAGTGTTTATAGGCACCGTTTATTAGGAAATTAGTAATATGCAGCGTTCATTGCTATGAGGATAACAGCACGGGGGTCACGCGTTATACCATCAGTAATAATTATTTGACAGGTTGATGTCGAACAGTGTCAGAAAAACCTTGTGTCTAAAATCGGGACCCGACTACATGGTGTTTTGGACTGAGGTTTCATATAGTACCAAAGAAAATACAAGTTTGGACGTTCACCGCTGAAAAGATTCCCTTTGTCGAATGATCATTACTCGAAGACACTTCTCTTTAAGCCTCAGACAATAGCCTCGAAGAAAGCACCATACCATTTCCCCCATGGTTATCACTTTAGACTCCTCGTTTGCCTCATGTCCCGTAAAAAAAAGGATACCATCAATAGCTGATGATTACGACTGTCTTCTGAAGGGTTTTGTTCAAGGAGCTACCTAGCTTCTAAAATTTCACTATTCTTATGTTAGTGTTGTGGTTACGTTATTTATTACATTATTATTATTATTCAATTGGACTTTGAGTTTATTACAAAACTTTTCGTACGTAGATTGCTGCTTTTTTAAGGAGATGTCTTTTGAATGTAAAATAAACGTTTAAAATAGTAAAAGAAGAATCTATATAAAAATCCCTAATCTTTAAAAAGGGTTATAAAAAATCCTTTCTTCGTTTTTCGAATTTTTATAGTTCTTGAGAGATTACTGCCCTGCGATTCTGTAACTCACTTTTCGAACTCACACAGCGGTTTTCGCATCGGTGGTCGCTCTCAAATCAGTCGTGAAGCAGTCATTTTATGATTTGGCATTCTGAAAAGGTGGGAGCTTGTAGTTTATTGTTTATAAGAATGCCAAATCATAAAATGACTGCTTCACGACTGATTTCAGAGCGACCACCGATGCGAAAACCGCTGTGTGAGTTCGAAAAGTGAGTTACAGAATCGCAGGGCAGCAGCTAATTTAACCATAACTCTTATACTAAGTATACTCGTACTACAAGTCATGTTGTTGGTCTAACAATATGTCAAAATCTAAAACGTTTCTCCATTGAGTGTCGACTCTGAACTTTGCTTTGGTACGCACTAGGCTAACATTACTAATTGCCTTGGTTTTTGTTTTAGATTTTGGTTATATTAATAAGGAAACTTATTTCAGAATTTTGTCTGTAAGAATATTACTGAACTGTGACGATTTTATTTTTTTGATTTTGAATTTCTTTTTGTATACAAAAAAGTGCGTGCGTACAAAATACACATGTCAGAAGTGAAAGTTCTTTGACAAACTAATTTTTAAGTCTTGTTTGTATTTATACAAATCTTAAACTTTAGATTTCAGAGACTCAGAGGGAGGGAAAAAGGAAGGTATGTTAGGAATTTAATTATCATTCAAGTGTCAATATTAATACAAATTATAAATTTAATTTTTTTAATTTATTGCGTCGATAATAAAAACACGTGGCATTTTAATTTACAATTTGTCATTTGAGATTTCAATAAATTATTTTGCATAAAATATAAAATAGGTACATACTAATATTTCATAAATTCTTTTAACGAGATTTTAATTTTAAAAATAGAATTTCTATAAGGTAATTCGCCTTTCTCACTCTCTCAATCGGTCTCAATCGCACTCTCCCTTTTCTTCGACAAAACGCTGCACGTCTTCGTGACGTTTTCGTAAACCCTCATGCGCCTAAAGAAGTTTCACTTCAAAAATTAAAATAATATTTTCAGGTACGGTATGATCAGATCCCGACGCCGACTGGTGAAAAAACTTGTGAAAGAGTTTACTTACGAGTGTAAGCATTATATATATACTTAGATATTCCTACATGGGCCTAATGACATTCTTTCAATTGTGGTGCGTACTTGTGCTCCTGAGTTGGCTTCGGTCCTAACGCGCCTTTTCCGGTACTTGTACTCGTTTGGCAGTATCCCGAAGGGCTGGATTACCGCTTAAATACATCCCATACCTAATAATAGCGATCCCTATGATCCGTCCAACTATCGCCCAATAGCTACAATCTCCTTGTTCTCCATTATAATGGAAACCATTTATAACGGCTACTGAGACTCCTGAGAGAGCCACCTTAATTTGAGATTGTCTGTACGGTATTCGTCGTGGTCACTCAGCACCTTCTCGTTTACCATAAATGGGCACAGGAAATTGAGTCCAAGGTTGAGGCGCTGGCAATAATTATTGACTTAGCGAAAGCCTTTGATCGGGTGTGGCACAGAGCACTTCTTTCGAAACTCCCAGTCTATTGGCTCCCCGTAAAATTATGCAACTGGCTTTCCAGCTTCCAGTCATCATCAAGGTCGTCATCGTTTATAAGGCAGTGTTTGTCGACCACCACCACTGTGTGAAACCAGCTACGCACTGAAGTATTTCGGGAGCTGACGGGATCCTTTAAGAAACACCACCAATACCAATTCTTAAAAAACTGGCAATGCACTTGAGACCCTTCTGGCAGTTGGAGTGTCCATGGCCAATGACCATTTAAATAAAAGGACTTGTCTGACTTATAGCGATTTAAAAAATTAAATTATATAATAATACTTTATTATATGCACAGCCAAATTTACCCATAACTCTTCAAATATAACTAAACTTAAAAGAAGTTAGTCTTAGAGTATGTGTGAAAAGAAAACCGGCGTGGAGCTAATGTAAAATGTTGTATGAACAGTTAATATATTTCTTATTTGCTACGCATCATTTAAAAAATAATTATCTTTTCCTGACAAACTATAATGATGGAACACTATTATAAACAAAACGGGTACAGATACCGGCAAACATCTTGGTCAAATGTCCTTGCCTGCGCAGAAGCGATTTTTAGGTATCACTTCGGTAGTGCGCGGCGTCGGGAGAGTGACGTGTCGATCGCGTGATTGGTAAATCAGTTGACATTTGTGTCCCGCGATGCGCAAACTTTCCCCCACCCCCTTGTTTAATGCTCAAGAAGTTTGCCGGTCTGTAACAGCACCGCAAATCCTATGACGGTTATCTTTCAGCACGGTCTCTACGTCCTTAATCAGTATTATTGCATTAAAATTAATTAGATACATTTAAGAAAACCTTTTTTACAAAATAATAGAATTAACAGTAATACGTCATCTCAAAACAATTAAAAAGAAAATATGTAACGAAAATATAAAAACGTGCTGACTTTACAATCATTTATACGGTCTCGACGTCACAATAGATTTTGAGAAATAATTGTTAAATTTCGAAATACAAAGGTGCTTTAGTATTTAATTGTTTAATATGCTAATAATTGCATTGCAGTAAAAGAAAAAAAGGGGTGCGTGTACTAATGTAGGCGCGTAAGAAGTTATACTTCTTTGGCATTATTAAAAATAGTTTTTGATTGCTACAAATAATTAATTACAATTAAATAATCAAAGACTGGAAAAGGAGTCATTATAGTCAATAAAGTTCAGTTTACATTTGAAAAATTAAATAAATAAATATTTATTATTATTCTCTTGCATTAAGTGTAACATAAATTCTATTATTATTCGAATGTTGTTTTTAAATTATGTCCAATGCCGTAGCATCTTCCGTGGGCAACTTCATTCTGTTAATTTTGTGTCACGGTGCGCACGCATCGTAAAATTTCACTCTCATCAATTTTTCATAACGCGCCTAAAGAAGTATAACTTCAATAATATAACTTCGAAATAAGTGAATTTTTATTTCGTAAATCGTGTAACGTGGTGAGTACATTTTGGCGTTCGTTTGAAGGAGAGATACTCTGGTCCCCAAATCTGACATGTGTAATACATACTTAAAATCTTGCATTTGTTACACGGGTCTTATTAACCGCAAACGATGATACCAAGTAGTAAAACTCAATATGTTCAGTATATCTGTCGAACTTAGTTACGGATATTAATTAGGTACTTCGTATAATATCCACTCATTAATAATTCTTACATTCATTTGCTGAACTAAAACATGCCAACTACACAGCTGAGTGAATCCTTTCATAAGCATATGACTGTGACACTATTAAATCATTATTAACAATATCGCGTGGCCTTGCTCCATATTAATTCAAATTTAAAAATAATCTAACAACTTTAACACATGACACTGTTATTGTGTATACCACAACGAGATTCAGACGTTAATAAGACAATACGTTCAAAAGTCAACGTAAAATGAAACAATGTTACACGATTAACTATTTAAATAAAAATTTACAAATTTTAAAATTACATTATTTTCTATAACTGAAATGTAGTATTTATAGCATATTAAAAAATCAGTGGCGCTACAACCTTTTTAGGTCTGGCCCTCAGATTTCTAAATCTGTTCCATGATCATTTTTCAATCTAATAGGCAAGTAGGTGATCAGCCTCCAGTGCCTGACTCACGCCATCGACTTTTTGGGTCTAAGACATGTGGGTTTCCTTACGATGTTTTCCTTCACCGTTCGAGCGAATGTTAAATGCGCATATAGAAAGCCCATTGGTGCACAGCCGGAGATCGAACCTATGACCTCAGGGATGAGAGTCGCACGCTGAAGCCACTAGGCCAACACTGCTCTATTATTATTCTCTTTATTTCTATTATTTTGTAAAAAAGTTACACTTAATTTTTGTAAGGAAAGTTTTCCTGCAGCGCTTCATATACATCCAAGAGTCCTTCTAATCTCAGTCATTAGTCATTCACGTGATTAACATGCCATGGTCCTCTTTAATCATATCTGCTCCCTTTTCCCCAATCATCATTGTAGGTGCATTAGTATTACCGCTTGTTATTTCAGGCATAATAGATGCATCCACAACTCTCAATCCCTCTATATTATGCACTTTCAATCTTTCGTTGACGACTCCATCGGGAGCCATGCGACAAGTTCCTACAGGATGCAGTATGGAACTAACTGTATTAACAACGTAACATTGCCAATACGCATCGGTGCCCCATTCTAAATTTTCGCACCCTTTAACATTTAATTTGACGATTTCCCCTCCTACACTTCTATAAAACGATGTTCTGGCTATTTTGGTTAAGAACTTTATACCTTCTGCTGCCACGTATATGTCATTGGGATTCCTAAAGTATCCAAGTTCAATAACTGGTGGATCTAATGCATTGGTACTTTTTATTGTTACTTGGCCTCTAGATACTGAATGCAGAAACACAAGTGATGTAAAATCTAGTTCTCTGATTGTATTAGCTTTACTAATAGAAAAACAAAAGTCTCTATTGTAATTTGCTATTGATTGACATCCATAGAAGACACCAGGAGCTGCAGTTGCTCCGATATGTAAATTAAATATTTGGAATTGTGGCTTTAAGGTTCTGTATCTATTTTTATAGTCATACGATGTGAACGTATGGTTTAGCTGGAAAAAGCCTGATTGTATTGGAGCAGGGTAGGCATCCAATTCCGCTGATATAAGCAAGTTTTGAATCGCTGTACTCAATCCCTTTCGACCAGTTATAATCAAAGGCATAATTGGATGATCCTGCAAGTTCTTGCCAACTGGAAGATCAGCCAGCACTTTTATATTTAACTTTTTCAGTACCTCTTTAGGCCCAACACCAGATAACATTAAAAGCTTTGGTGTGTCAATTGTTCCAAGTGATAGAATAACCTCTTTGCTTGCATTAACATCAATAACTTGTCCAGAATTTAGGATAACTCGGACACCGTAAGCCCGCATTGTGGTTGAATCAATATGTACCTTAATAACTCTAGCGAACTTAGTTATGTATAAGTTCGCTCTATCTTTTGCTGGTTTCAAATATGCCTCGGCAGTACTCGATCGCCTTCCATTTGCAAATGTAAAATGTGGTCGAGATATTCCGAATTTATCAGGTCCATTGTTTTCAAGTACCTTTTTAACTCCTATTTCTTCATAGGAATTCAATACTATTTCGTCTATTTCTTGAAAGTATGCATTACTATTAGGCCTTGATACGGCAACAGGACCATCTCTTGAATGTAATCGTGCATTTTTAGGATTCTCAAATACTGTGTTGTCTGTCATTCCTTCTAGTTTTTTGTAGTAGTATAGAACAGATTCCGAGTGCCATCCGGGTGCTGACTGAGCCCAATCATCAAAGTCTTCTTCCACACCCCGGGAATATACTTCGTAATTGTTAGATGAGCAACCGCCCAACATTTTTCCTCGTGTCATAGGAATGTACCCATCGGGATGTGTTTGTCCTATTCCGGGATCTAAGTAAGCTTTATAGTCCCAATCATACTCCGTACGTGCCAATAAACTGAACAAACTGGGTGCCTGAAACACATGAATTCATCTCTTAAAACGAAACAAAAATAGATTTACAGGTTAATCGAAATTTATTTTAGTTAATTAATTTGAAGTGTAAGGAATTTTAAACGATGTTTTTCCTTGACGCATAAATATGTCTTCAAAAAGAATTTGGGACTTACCACACTCGCAGGTGGTGGATCTCCCCCAGCTTCAATCAGCAGCACTCGCCAATTATAGATTTCACTGAGCCTTGCAGCAACTACTGCACCAGCAGAACCCGCACCTACTATTATGAAATCGAAGGTATCGCCACCTGAAAAGACCAGCTTGTTATGAGTATATACTCAATTCATCTATATCACCATTCAAAAACTTAAACATCGCGAACCTAATCAACACGAAAATCGATAAACAAATATATTAGTTTTTCTTCAAACTGTGCATCACCTAAGGAATTTCATTAAAATCTCTTCCACAGCTTGCCCTTTGCCTTTCCTTAGGAATTGGAGTCGACTAGGTGTAATTATGATTTTAAAAAATTGAAATATATTTCATCACACCATCTAGAGATTTACACAACTAAAAAGTAACAAAATAGTACATATAGTCTGTGCCACATTACACATAACATAGTAAAAAAACGTGCACCCGCGTAGTAATTACTTATTTTATGAATTGCCACTACTTAGTATGTTTATCCGCATCTTTGTTGGTGGTGTAACACAGTGCTGGAGAATATCACTACGATTTTTGACATAGTACAATACACGTGGTACACACATTACAATTCAGGTGAAGTAACGTAATAAATAATAGTCTTGCCATGATTGATGAGCCTCTTAAACTAAATTGCTTCAGCTTAGAAGAAATATTGAAATAAAATTATAGATTTACTTAAATATGTCCCAAACCCCAGCGGGCGTCAGATGACTTAAACTGAACTGCATCGCTAGGTTAGGTTTCAGTTTTAGCTGTAATCATATTATAATCATATATTTCGGCCAATGTTGTGCCAATTTTATTTATTTATTAGTAATCTTACAGCGAACATAATATATAGGTATTATAAAACAAAACACTTAGACAATATACAAAGCCAAAACAGATTATATTAATAACAAAATATATAAAACAAAAACGTAAGTACAAAAAAGATACAACTAAAATTAAACCTTAAACAAATATTTATTAATATATAATTTTATCTTTCGTAAGGTAAAAAATATCAACATATTCATAATTAGTGTCAAAGTTACAGAAAACCCGAAACATTGGCGAATTACGCAGATAATTCGTGTTCGTACTGGGCACATAGAACAACTGTGAATATCTTGTCGCATACGGTGCAGGGATTGTTAGAGAAATTAACGACAGCAAATAGGGGCTATATATCCGCCCTTTAAGAATAGCTTGCAAAAATAATACGTCTTGCTGACCCCACTAAAATTCCAATGAGTCTAAATTAAAATATTTGCAAGAAGCTGCAAAGCTATCGAAATTATGATACTGTTTTAAGCTAAGGAATTTCACAAACTTTTGTTGTATATTTTCTACGGCGTTTATATATTTTATATAGTATGGAGGCCAGATGAAGCTTGCATACTCCAGCACGCTTCTGATAAGCAAAATAAAGGCATAGACACTACTCTCACTACTAATTATAACTAGGGTCTAAAATTAATGAACATCCGTGGAAAATTGACATATTTTTTGTATTTAGATTGCAGGTTGCCTGTTTCTGTCTGTTTAAGCTTCAATAAAATAATAATAATAAAACCTTTTTCATTTCCAGATCCTTCATTGCCATTTCAATTTCAATTTCGTTAGTAGGATTGTAAGTATGTATAGTATAGTAGTAATATGTTAGTAGCCTGTGGATATGGACCCAATTGGGTGAAGGCCATTCCTTTCCAGGTGTCTCTGTCTTTGCCAATAGTTTGCCAGTCTTTTCCTGCTATTTCTATCAAGTCATCAGCCCACCGTCTATTAACCTGCCAACTCTTCTTTTCCCGTAGTCCCTTTGTTGTCTTTTATGTCGATCAGTTGTCTAGGTATAGTGTTACAATATAAACAAATGCTAAATGAAAACAGCGTAATCCTTTTTAAACGGTTATCATGCTCCATTAGCAGTGTTGTTCTTAAGCCAATCAACTCTGAGGACATGATTACGTGCAACAATCGATTCTTTTTACAGGAATAGCGCGTACTTGAAACCAATCGCAAGGAAACCGGCTTGTCTTTGACCAACTTCATATGTAAGGCACAGAAGGCTGATCACCTCACCAATTGAAAATAATTAAAAGCCAAATATCTGAGGCTATACGATTGTAGGATTATTATTTATACTTTATCAGCGAATTTTACCTTGTTCCCTTCCTAACCTTGATAAATATCAAGTTTATTTTGATCTGTATATTTCGAAACAAAATATTGGCAAATAATATTACGGGTAACATTACATATATATACTTTTAAGGTCACATTTTGCAATATCTTATATTTTATAAAAGTTGCATTCGGAAATATGACATATACCATTTATATATATCATTAAGAGATTAACAAACACATACAAAATTATTATCACTCTAACAAAAAACTAAATAAATAATGCCCTAAAAATTAAGGATAATAGAAAGCTAAGAACAATTTTTTTATACGAGTAGGACTGGGGCAGACATAGAAATACATATTTATTTTTAATTCCGTTAAGCTATATCTAAGACATGAGATGGGAGTTATGTTTCGGATAAAATAATGTTTCTTAATAATTTAGAGGGAATAAATAAATTTGTAAACAAAGAATTAAAAACCTATAATTTAGTAAATATATTCTTTATGAGTAAATAAATAATTGTTTGTTATCAGTGTACAATATAATTGATCAATTTACAATAATTTGATTCAGTAGGCAGAGATTACGGACATTAAAAATACCGCAGTTTTATAAATTCGACGTTATTTTTTCAAATTTCAGATTCAAGGAGCAGACCTTGTTTAAGTGATTATTTGTAAACAGTACATAGTAAAACAATGACTATCCCAAGAATCCTAATCACAAGTTAGCAATAAAGCCATCAACTAAAATTATTGAACGACAACACTTTATGGCATTTTTTTTTTCAAGACTAGGACAGGAATATATTTATTATTACGTACGTTCTAATTGGTATACTAATATAATATATAATAATAATCATCAATCAATAATATTAGCATTATATACTCAGTTTAAAATTTTTGAATCAATTAAATCAAATTATAATTTAAATGAAAAAAAAAAACATATTAAATTATTGTTCTAATGAAAGCTTTTTCAAAAGTATTAATCTAGATATGGATATTTAATGGTAAACGAAGTACACTGTTCATAGATTAATTTTTTTTATTGATACAAATATACAGTATGTACATATTTACTTTATTTTCTTAACTCACATATTCATAATAATTAAAAAATTGATATATATAAAATTAAAACAAGTTACAATTCAAATACGTTCTTGATATACAGGATTCGTTACTTACTATTTTATACAATAAAACATTACATATAAATGATGCTCACAAATGAGTTATAATCAATATATCTAATCCAAGTAATTGTTGTTAGGACAGAAGATTTTAATCCTATCTATTGACAATCTCTTCTTACACTGTGCAACAAATATACATGGCATTTGACATTTATTAAAAACAGAAATCACATTTGAAGATGTCATTCGATGTTTACGCGGGAAAATCGCATGTAAAATACGCATGTAAAATGTGTATACGACCCCATCGAAAAGAAGATGTATACTCTATACGATCAATGTTATCCTCAAGTATACAAATATCATAAATCACTGTTCTAATAGTTTCACTTAAAAATTATTCATATTTCATACCTTTCAAATCGTAGGAAATAGGCCATCCGGCAGGCGCGATTGCCTGGGACAGTGCAAACACACGCAATATCCATCGCAACCACGGATTCCAGGCCCAATTCGATTGTAGAAATCCGAGGAATTTATTAGCCGCTACGTTTAAATTCATTTTCAAAAAACACAATTTTTTTACTGTAAAAATTTTTGCACTGCCCGATATTTTCGTAACATACAACCGAATGCGAGCACTGCTTAAACAAATATAGTTAAAGAAAAATTCGTGGCATTCCACAAAAAGCCGAATTTGATAAACTGGATGTGTATTTATCGGCTCACATTATATAAGTATACTAGCTCGATTAACGCCGATTTGGTGTCTATTGTATAGAGTTGACTGACGGATTATAGCGTCTTTTCATAATATTGTTGTGTTTTAAATAATTTTAGCGTAGTCTACTTAACTTATCTATTATTTAAATTGATTAATGTGGTAGGTTAAAAATACCTCATGTAATTTAGATATATTATAATTACAATACACTTATACATATCTTCAAGATATTTAGTTAAATACGTTACTAATAATTTTAAAATATAATTTCAAAGTACAAACTTTTGTCTTTGATTTTGAAGCCTTACAAAGATGAAGTTTCAAAAACGTAATATTTTTAGGAAAATTCAATTTACTCTTTATGGCATTCTTATCATCAAGGCAGGTTGATCTACTTGCCTTTTTTTATTAATTGGCATTATCACCATTGACACTGGCATTAATTTATTCCTAATTCTATTAAGCGTTGTTTAGAAACATAGTTATCTACCCAAAAGTATTTAACTAAACTGTTAGTACTATTTTATCTTAACGTAACCATTAGCCCAGAAATAAAAATAATAAATTACTTTAATTAACGTATAAGTATCCTATTTCCTTCCTCCTATTGCTTTGTGAATACTAGAATTTTATGTCTTATAATTTTTTTTGCCTGAGTTGCTTTAAACCCGACTTCAACAACCGTAGGAAGTAAATGAAAATACCTTTTTAAATGACAGTTAAAATTTGTGCAAAATATTTTTTGTTTTTATATTTATATTTGGCATATTATTATTTTTTATTTATATTCAAAATCAATATTATTTCCTTCTTATCCTTTTTAATCCCACATATTTAATCAAATCAAAGATGTACAACGCAAGGTGATGCAAGTACATGATTTAATCAATGGTTTTAACGTGACCAATTTATACAAGGTCAACAAGTAGCCATTGGAATTTAGGTTTATGCAAAATTGAGTAGCGTCATCAGAGTGCAAAGTGCCCTTAAAAAGGTATATAGCTTATGTTAACATCGCTAAACTAATATTATAATGACGACGACATGCATTTCTATATGATTGTCCAACTCCAAAACTACTAGACTGATTTCAATAATTCACCATAATAATGCTACATCCCTAAGCAACAAGTTTCCAAAATATTGAGCGGACAATCTACTCCAAAATGGCGATTCCGATTACAATACTTATATTATACGGTATCGTCACTGTAGAATCATAACCTCGTATGTCAAAAAACCATTTATTTTTTATTCTTAGATTCTTATTTCATTTAACTGGTATAATCATGAAGTAAGGACTTATTTATGTTATTAATAAATAAGTCCTTTTTACCATCTATAACTATGGACGATTTGTTTTGAATTCTGCAATAACTACTATATGATATTAATAGGTGACAACATTTTGATTAAAACCGGAATTTATTCACGTTGAGCAAAAAAATGACTAACTTTGTTGCAATATTTTATGTCGATTTTATTAAAATTTTAATTGCATGTGATGCTATTGCTTAATTACATTCTAGATAGTAAATGACAACATTAACGATTAAACATTTTGCACTCTATTTTAATTCAAACTAGGGTAAAGAAACTTTTATAGGAATAGACATCGTTTATTATCAAAAAATTTAATATCTTTACTCACCTAGATAATTTTAATAATATCTCAAATTAAGTAAAACATTAGCATACTAGGTCAGGGTCTTCAAGGCTAAGTATTATACATAATATATTACAAAAACCCGTTTTAATATAGATATTGTGTTGCGTGGTTGGAGGTAATAAAACAAAAATTGTATGTGCAATTTTAATTGTTAGCAATAAGTTCAAAGAAATATAAAATATTAAACACCTGCTATCCACGAATTCATACTAATATTACCTTCCTGATTAAAACTACGAATATAGGTAGATATGATCAATCAAAGTAATTACGCCTTAATACGCGTGAGATTTAGAAATTACGACATATTTTATGCTTTACTATACGTTATTATCAGCTTAATAAATAAATATAGGTATTTTTTAAGATAACTTACAACTTAAATAAATAAGAACAGCTATCTTTTCAACGAATAAAAAATAATGTCAAAAAATTTAGACTAAGCCAAGCTTTTCTCGCACTTTCAATAAAATATATCAATTTATTTGCCAATATTCTTACGTATATATTATGTACATACATATAAGATTTACTTTGTATTATTTATCTACCTAATTTAAAATTCTTTCTCGAATACAAGGTATTTTTTTAAATATTATGTATTTCCCATGTCAGAAATAAAAATTATAAATTGACGTATAATTAATTATAATACCAATTAAAATAAGTACCAATTGAAACTACGTTAGTGTTTGGGTCCCTCCTGCTTTTGAATAATTTTATAAAACTTATATAATAAAAGAACAACATCCCACACCATTACAACATTTGCGATGTTGCCGCGTCGTTCAGCGTCACTATTCAAAGATTGGCAACCTCGCCTAGTCGACAGTGCGTAGAACGGATTTGTAAAGCGATATCTAGCGGCGGTTTTCTTAACCAATGTCAAAATTTGTGATTATCGTGAGAGTTACAGCTTTTCCATTCCCATAGTTTGTCTGTTTACTTCAATAATTAATAATTGTCTTTGGTATGACGTTACCAAGCAATAAAATCTTTAAAAATAAAACGTTAAATGTAGCATTGGTCGAATGCCATCGCCATCCATTTTAAGACTCTTTTTCGTCTTTAGGCATTATATACGTACTTTGTGCTAGGCAAATTATATAAATACGTTAGTAAATAATAAATTCATTAATATCCCATGTGTATAGAGTAGAAAACTATTAAAATGTGCACAAAATCCTTTTGCAACTTATGCATTGAATGTTCTCTTTAATCCTAAAGCAAAATTTTGTTCCTTAGACAATCTAATGCTTGAAACTCGTATTCATGAAACTGAATTCTATCACTCCTCCTTTACTGTGCAAAGTATCCTGCTATGGAATTCCCTACCAATTGATATTAGACGTCCTTAAATTTATTTTAAGAGCTTCTTTTTGATAATTTTCTTTCTACCTCGCTTATAAGCAGAGCTAATTAATACAATATATATATTGTATTAATTATTGTGACTCTGTTAACCTTTTGATTGTATTTTAAATTTTTGTTTATACATATTTTTATTTATTATTATTGTATTTTTTTTCTTTATTTTATTTTAGTTATAGTTACGTGTTATTTTGAGGTTTTTTTTGTTAATAATTATTTATGCACTTCTTGGTGTTTCTTTTTCATTGTTCCGCATTAGGGTTGCCTGGAAGAAATCGCTTGTTAGCGATAAGGCCGCCCGTTGCCTTATAACTTTGGAAAACTGCTTTTTATATTTTTGTATGCGTATAAATAAAAAAAATAATGTTTTAATGAACATTTACATATTACAAGGAAACAAAATAAACCTTTAAAATATTAATGTAGATTTAACTAGCGACCCGCCGCAGCATCGTAATTCGTAAGGGTACAAATTGCAATGCTGATACTAAATTCAAATTGCTATAGGCATAGGGTCTAGGGAGAACCACTGCCTCCGACGCGCTATTTACGTATATACGCGTCTATACTACGCAATTTTTAAATCTGTAATACCTTCGAAAATATACATTTAAATCATATGCTGTAAAGGGCCATATAGATCTATATTAAATCAATAATGTATTTCAGGTATTTAATTGGATACGGATTAAAAATTATATCTATAAAAAAACCGCATCAAAATCTGTTGCGTAGTTTTAAAGATTTAAGCATACATAGGGATATAGGGACAGAGAAAGCGACTTTGTTTTATACTATGCAGTGATGTTATATATTTTGAGGTAAGAATATTTAAATAAGTATATAATAAGTAATAATCTACGAAGGTCTCAAATTCAGGTTTCTTCAATCACATTCCTTGGCTGCGAAAAAAGCGTTTTGGCCATATCAACAATTACACAAAAGCGTTAGTATCTGAAAAAACTTTTCGGCAGCAATCCGTCCAGACCCCTAGATTATTTTGCTGATTGAAGTAAGAATATTGAGTTGTCAATATGACGTTTAATAAGTTCGCAAGGTAGTTTAATTATAAATGAAAACGCTGTGTAAATTTATTAAAATAAAAAAATAATATTCATGAACACATAATCATGAAAATAATAATATAAAGCGAATATTCTTAATTAACTGATACTCAATTTTTTTTATTTTCTTACGCGTGCTGAGTTTTGACAGCTTGACTTTGGTAATTTGTCAATTACCATGTGCTTGACCAATGAATAATGATCATTGGTGATAGGGATGAAAATGTGTATATTGCTCGCTGCTCAATATTATATTTTTAATATAAAAATATTTTTAAATACTAATATATCAATATATTATTCACGAATATTGTATTTATGTACCTATCCGTGGTAGACATATTCAATTTTGTAGTATTATAATCTTTGGTCGACACGTAAACATGACATATCCTTTTTAGCGGCTTTTTATTTAAAGATTGAGAAATAAGAATTAAGAATTACATATTACATCGGCTTTCGACCTAATAGTTAACTCTAGTGGCTGCTTAATAAATATAAACCTATAAAATGGATTTAGTAAACTCCACTTCAGAATTGAAAATACAAGAGTAAGTTTTATTTATTAACCTGTAAGAATACAATTTACGGTAAATCCGTACTAATATTTTTTTGAATATTAATACTATTAACATATTAAATTAAATATCGATTCGCTTGATTCCAGTACAGACCGGCAAAATAAACGAGAAGACTACATTGATTGGAAAGACTATTTTATGGCGATGGCATTTTTAGCTGCAAAACGTAGTAAGGACCCTTGCTTTCAAGTTGGAGCTTGTGTAGTCAATAAGGAAAATAAAATAGTTGGTATTGGGTAAGCTTTTTTCCTAGTGTGTAGTAACATAACCAATTAGTTGAATTAATCACAAAATCCAACATGTAAGGCATATTAACTTACCTTATAACTATTTATGCATGATGTTACTGGTGAGGATAAAGTAGTTATAATTTAGTTTCCTACATACCTACAAATTAGATAGAATTGTATGACTAGAGACTATTACTAACACATTCTATATTTTATAAATTATTCTTATGTTATTACATTTCATATTTCTCTTATACCTCACTTTCTGTTGTAACGCACCCATTCAATGTTTAATATTACTAAAGCATTTTTAAGCTACAATGTTCACTTTTAGGTATAATGGAATGCCTACAGGATGTAATGATGATGATTTTCCTTGGGGAAAAAATACACCATCACCTTTGGATAGTAAATCCCTTTATGGTAAGTTGGATTTTAAAATATCAATTATGTATTAACCTATCTCTCTAAAACATTTATACCTTGTATTTAACTTTTATGTCTAATTTAACTATGGTATTTTATTTGACAATCAATTTGAAAGTTGTAAGCAAATATTTATTTTAATAAATTTTATCCATATTTATCTGGATTCAAAACTATATTGCTATGTAACTAAATAACGGTTTGACTAATGACACAAATATTAAAGTAGCCTATCCATGTTTTGAAGAAATATTCAAGAAGCCCATATTTGTCATAAATTCAAAATGACCATTAAAGATGTCTTAACATTTTTTTTATTTCAGTGTGTCATGCAGAAATGAATGCAATATTAAATAAAAATTCTGCTGATGTAAAAGACTGTACGATGTATGTAGGTCTTTTCCCATGCAATGAATGTGCTAAAATAATAATTCAATCCGGTATCATAGAAGTTGTCTATTTATCAAATAAAAGTTGGGATAAACCAAAATATGCTGCATCAAGGAAAATGTTAGATGCAGCAGGTGTCAAGTATTGGTAAGAGTAGTTCACTCTCATATGCATGATTTATTAAATACTATCGATACAAGTCTTGGCTACAAAACATGTATTGATTTTTTAATAGTAAGTGGTTGAAATCAGATGGTCTAGTTACAACAATCTTATTAAGTTTTAATAATTTTTCAGGCAATATATACCAAAGCAAAAAAAAATTGAAATAACATTTATACCTTCATGCAGTAGCAGTTCTTCATAACAAATACTTATACTATATATTATTAACAATAATAATTATTGTGATATGAAAAGTTATAATTTTTTAATTTGTTTCAAATATACCATGTTATACTAAATAATAAAAATGTGATATGGCAATGTATACTTATAATTTGGACGTGTTTTGTAAAATGAAATAAAACAAATTTTGTAAAATAATTTTTATTACTTTATTTACAAGGGGTACACAATACTCCCTCCCATCAGGGAGCTAACAACAACTGAATACTAAGAACCCATAGGAAAAAATCTGTAGAAGAAAACTGCCATTGGAATTATAACTGAATTTTTTAGAATGGTTTTATTTGTGGTCACTTATTAAATGTAATTTCTAGTCTGGCCAGAATTTAATTTAACATGGCACCAATGTTTTGTTAAAATTCCCAATGGCCAAAATTACAGGTCTAATATGAATATTTCCATCTATAAATACTCTTTTCGAAATAGCAAGGACATGTTCAGATTGGTTTTTTTTTATTGGGATTTCAATTGAAGTTTCAAAATAACTTTCTATAAATGTAGGTATAACACAACATAGCCGAATTTTATTGAGTAGACTGGTAACTGGTCGAAGAATTTTTATATCTATCTAGTGCAGTTAAAAAAATACCTTCAAAGGTAAACATAAACATATGTGAATATAAAAAAAACTGCATTTAAATAGTCATGTAGGTTAATTTCCTACATTCATATTAAATAATGTTTATTTCTAGATATAAAACAAATAATCAAATAATTATTACAGGCCTTATTTATAAACAAATTTAAAAACTAATACTAGAAAAGTAGTAGTTATGTTATGTTGTTATGAGAATAAAGACAAAACAAGATGTAGAATTTATTTATGAATAAGACCATATTTTATATAAAAAATGTTTTATAGAAAAAAATGGCAAAAGATATGATGGGCCATCCGTATTTATTATAATTTATATAAAATAATTTTTAATTAATTTTGATCAACGTTATCCAATCACTTGTTTACATACCAAATATTATGCTCAATATTTTATATTGTAATAAACATTTTTACAGTTGGTATTTTTGCTACTAAAGTAATGCATTGTTCTATTGGTCAATCAAAAATACAATTATACAGCAATCGTCAACTTTAAATATTTCGGGGTCACCTCTAATTTGATATTATCAAAGATAATGATAATCTATTTTAAATTTAATGGTTGGGTAATGCATATCTGAGGAAGATTAAAATGTTATCAATAATTATTAGTTGTAGGTTAAGGTAGGTCACTAAAAAATAAAATTTCCGTTATTAACTTGTTTTAATAATGTTTTAAATTTTTAAAGTGTATGTTAATTTCATACTATCAAAGACCACTACTGTTTTTGACTATACACTAAAACAGTATTACAGTAAAATTCAAAGATTTGTTCAACAAGTTGATATCTGTTACCATGGCTAAAATTTTAATATGGAAAAAACATTGTATCTTCAGTCGAAATATTGACCAAAAATAACTTAAAACTTATAAACAACAGCACATTGAGTTACTGAATTATTATAGTTTGACGATAACTGTATTTATTGTATTATATTCCACTTACAAATTTTAACCTTTCCCCATTAGCTATGTAATAATTACATATTAAAAATTGGTTTAAAAATTCTTATTCCGTACAATTTGTATAACAGTCAATGAGTCGAATTAAACCTAACTGTATTTTACAGCGAAAACTTAAAGTAGTTATTTACAAAGCCAACCTCGATCAATTATTGCGTGAGGTTATTTCACACATTTATCTATAAAACCAGAGATTTAATACAAATCCTATATAACTTGAAAATTGAACACTTGAGGCCATGCTTACAAAATCAACAATCACTAAATTAGAGGAAGCTTGAATTGATGTTTAACAAGGGATAAGCGACGACTTAAAATTAAATGCAAGGAACATTAAAGTAATTTGAATGGTTTGCACTGAACTTGGAAATGTATTTACTAATAGACGTTTTCTGACACACCACAAAGACTTTTCTTAAAAATGTTTCATTGTGAATTTGGAAATAAAGTGTTGAACATGATTCTGTCAAGTCTACTTGACAGTATTCTCACTAGACTATGAAACAAACAATGACTTATTTTGAATTAAACATTTGCAAACTTTAATTGCTTTTTAAAAAAGTGTTCAATTAAAATAAATATCTCCCCTGAAACTTTAATTTAAATTTGTTCTATTAGTACATACAGATACGCGAATAAGATCAGCAGCAAACTGAGCATTTTGAAATCTTCACAGAAATTAACATTCGCAAACAAATTTTCATACTTTGTGACACCCGAAACCGAATTCATGCCTTAATATTAACTATTATTAATTTTATCAATCGAGATATAAAAACCATTTTTGGTGTTTCCAAACTTCAAAAGGACCGAAGCGACCTTCAATAATTTTATTCCTTTAGCATTATTGCGTTAATTTTTTTATAGAATAACTAGAAAGTCTTTGACAATATGGAAGTTCGAGGCACATAATTTGACGTGTAGTTTCTATCATAGACAATACAGACTTCACCATAAACCAAATTTTCTACAGAACTTTATAAATTACGTCCGTCATGTATTTGTTAAATTCACAACCCTTAAATTGAATATATTTGAATGGAAAATAATGCTACTACAATATTTTGAACTAAAAACAGATTTTTTCGAATAATCGTAAAATGTTTAGAAAACACATATGGTGTTTTACTGTCGAAAACTCAAATAAAAAAACCAACTAATAATAATAGAAGCTTAAGTAATCTTGGCAGCATAAATTAAAAGTATAAACACGAAGGGCTAAAACACGTTAAAATTATTTATTAAAAATGTGATGTTTGTGTGAACAATGTTAAAGTTGTTTGCTTGCTCGAAGGAAATTTCGCTCCAATCTGAAAAATCATTTTGCACTATTTATGTGGGTAGGAGGAGGAAAGGATCAACTACCCTCACTTTCAACAATCCTGGTAAATACCAAATACTTTCTAGTTTTTTCTACGATTATGATCTAGAAAAAAGCCTCGGAATAAAATTACTGCAGACCTGCCTTTAGCCTTCAGTGGCTAAGGTCAATTTCCTTTGGCTGTAGATCTTCGGAATGGTTTTCTTCCGGTGGCGGAGGTTTGAACGCGATCGCGTAAGGGAATTTCACCCTACACGCCTCTATGTAAGCTTCAATTTCCTTTTCGCAAGGACCGAAGTCGCCTTCTCTCAGACTTTCTAGTACTTCGAGAGAACCCTGGAATGTGAATAAAAATTTGTATATATATATATGTATCAAAGTATTCAAAATAATAAGAGGACAAATTTGTATTTCAATATTCTCAAAGAACAATATTCCTAATATTAAATTCGAAAGTCTGAATATTTGTGTAGGCTTTTACGCCAAAAAAACCATTTTGACGTTCGTCATAATCAGAATTTTAGTTTAGAAAACATCTCATCCTAACAAACTTTTATCTTTACAGGGACGAAAACGCAAGCGAAAGCTAGTAAAAAACTGTATAGAGAATTTTCTAACAAATCTTGAAGCTAGACGGAAGTTTTACTTTTGGGTTATAAACCTAAATAGTTATGTACGATGAAAACGTTAAATTTTCATCGTACATAACAGAATTGGGAGTTGGCACAAACTTAACTAAAGCTTAATTACAAAATTAAATTCTTATACTTGGAACAAACCCTTTTGCCGCTATTTAAATGGCAGACATCAATAATTATTAGTGAGACGAGTGATGAGTTACAAAATTTCTTACCTGTATAGTAGTGTTAGGAGTATCCAAGGCAGTGGCAAGCGCGAGCGCATCTTTAGTACGTTGCGGCACGAGTCTTCGCAGCGCACGCGCACCCCACAGAGCGGACGCTTGCGACTTCGACCCGCATTCACTCACGTACTCTTCTGCTATTGTTAGAGCGCTGCGATCACCGAACATCTATCGACAAAAATAAACCATTATTTTTTACTCTTAATCAAAATTAAGTAATAAATTTATTAATAGTGTAATAAAAAATCATATATTCCTTAATTTAACATTTTAAAGATTTTAGTATGATTAACATTCTAGAATACAGACCCATGTCATTCTAGAACTAACTAAAACATATGTTTAAATTTTAATGGGCGCTGAGTTTGGTTTTCGGTTAAAGAAGTATGGTGTAGGCACAGAAGGAACCTTGCCTTAACATCCACAGATGCAAGTGTGCCCAGTAAGACATCCGTTGATGTTGCACAAAACAAAGTCAGTCATTAAATTGTACATTATTTACTTGTTTTTTTTTATTTACCCATTAAAACTATGTATCTCACTTCATACGTAGTTGGTCCCAAAGTTCTGTCACTAGCACATTATTTCTACATTTCGAGCAGGATTTTATAAAAAAATTATTGCATTCTATTTTGGAATGTTTGATTATTGTTTTAAAACAAAAAACAATAACTTTCCGTAATTTTTCACGATGGAGTGGACATTGAAAGTAAACCGAATAGTTGTTATTGCGTTGCACCGCTGTGGACACTCGCCGAGTACCATTTTCAAGTTGCTCAAAAATTTGAATATAACGCTTAGGTTTGTGTACGGTACTATTGATAGGTACCTTGAAGTCTCCAGTGTTGAGGACAAGAAAAGAACTGGCTGGCCACGCTCCGCAAGAACACCAGCAGTAATCAAAGCTATCAAGGCGCGGATAGTAAGAAATCCTGTCCGAAAACAGAAGTTGATGGATTTGCAGATGGGTGTCAGTAGGAAAACAGTAAAAAAGGTTTTAAATGAAGATCTTGGTCTACGAGCATATAAAAAAAGAGTGGGCACTTACTTAATGCTCGTCTAAAAGCAATAAGGCTTAAGAGATCGTGGGTGTTGTATAATGGTCTAAGATCCCGCTATACAACGACCTTCACCGAGATCCTTATTTAATGAAACTTATTTTATATATAATTTAATATGTCAATAAATATAATCCATATGGGTTGCCTAGCAAATTTCAGTCCAGAGTATGTTTAATTAATTTAAAAAAAAAATATTTTTTAAACATTTCACCGGTATGATTATTAGATAAATTCTATACCAATCGAACGTATGAAGCCCATAGAATATGCAAACGTTAGGTTGTTTTTAATCAATTAATTATTTATGTGTATATTTTTTATGTGACACTAAAGTATATATACATCTTTAGTATAAAAGAAGGTTATAGTGATACATATATAATACTACCCTGATTAAAAATATTGATTGAAAAAAGTTCAAAAAATTTACTACATGCAAATTATAAAAAAAATTTTTTTTTTAATATTAATTAAACATACTCTGGACTGAAATTTGCTAGGCAACCCATATGGATTATATTTATTGACATATTAAATTAAATATAAAATAAGTTTCATTAAATAAGCATCTCGGTGAAGGTCGTTGTATAGCGGGATCTTATACTATAAGCGGTACGCGAAAAACCGACACCGTGATATCCTCTTTACGGACGAAAAATTTTTCGATATTGAAGAGAAGTACAATAAACAGAATTATACAGTGTACGCTAGGAGTTCTGAAGAAGCTGAAAATAAAGTTCCAAGGGTGCAACATGGACATCATCCATCATCAGTAATGGTTTGGTTGGGAGTGTCCTATTACGGGCTGAGGTTAATTTTTTCGAAAAGGGGGTCAAAACCAGTGCTACAGTGTACCAAGAGACGGTTTTGTATCGCCTTGTCAAAGACATGTCCAGCACCCTATTTGCGGGACATCACTTCGTGTTCCAGCAGGACTCTGCGTCTGCATACAAAGCCAAGACCACTAAAGCCTGGTTTGAGCGTCAAAACATCGTCTTAATTAGACATGAGGATTGGCCTTCCTCCAGTCCGGACCTTAATCCTTTGGACCAGAAATTATGACAGGGCTTAGAGAGGAAGGTCTGTGATAAACCTCATGAAAATTTGGAGAATCTGAAGTCATCTTTAAAAAAACCAGTGACTGAAATCGACACGAATATGGTGCGTGCTGCGATAGACGACTGGCCGCGACGCTTAAGGGCCTGTATTAAAAATGAGGGAGGTTATTTCGAATATTTTTATGCTTTTTTTATTCCTTAATTAATGTACTAAGAATTGATATATCACTCATTACAAACTGATCAGTACTTTTGTTTTTATCATTATTTCCATTTATGACAGAACTTTGGGACCGACTACGTAGTTATATCTATTAAATCATGATAAAACCGCCGAAAAAAGTACTATCCAAATTACAATTTAAAGATGTATAAAATTTTAACCAAATAAAAAAAATTGTCTTACTTTTTTAAAATTTATTTCAACTTAATTAATATTATCAAACGGAATTAGGGGGATCGGTTATCAAGCTTAATTTTGCTTAAAGAGAGTATTAGTGGAGTAGTATTTTATGTTCTATGTAACTTATTTATATATTCTATTGTTGAAGCAATACATACCGTTTTTGTCTCCGCATTGATGACAGCTGCCACGTGCGGGTTGAGTGTAGGAAGTCGTTCTTCCAACCAGCACTTGAATCTTACGAGACAATCGTGAAGATGCTCATGGGTGTTATCCAGCGCCCACGCACGCTTTATGCTTTGCAGCATGAGTAGGGGCTTGTCTGGAAAGGGATTAAAGTACATTAATAATTTAAAAATAAACTTTTAATTTAGCTGACGACGCCGTCCATTAATATCCGTGTGTCAATAGTTTTTTTTATGTTAATATAGAATTAGCACAAGAATTGATTAGCGCCGAAACCATGCGGAGAATTGGCAGGAATAAATGTTATATTATTTTATACAGATCATCTTTCTGTGTCTCGCACATGTCGTATTTTAACTATGGCATATCGTTTAAATCGCCTTAACCTACGACCAAGGGTACTACACATAGAAAGAAAAATCGCTTCGCAATTTCTGCTGGAACACAAATACTCTGTATGTAACACTCAGTAATCTCACAAAATATGAAAAGAAGAGATCGCTGGAAAGCGATAAGGCCAGTTGCCCTCATTTTCATTTAATTATGTCAATTGTATTATATTTCTGCACCGAAGTATTAATAAATAAAGAAATAAATAGATATAATAATAGTACCTTTTCTATAATATATTTCGAAAGCCATTAAATATGTGTCTATCCTGTCGGCAGCCAGCTGCCGGAGTGGCAAAAGGAACTTTATTGCTTGTTCTAACGGGTCTTCTACCTGTAAAGTATAATAACACACTATAACTTCATATAATGTATATTTTTTTAAATATAATAGGGGAGCAAACGAGCTTGCGGGACACGACCAAAAAGGGCAGTCTTCGCAGCCCATAGACACCCATTTTTAGTGGGTGAGTTGCCCCCCTTTGAGGGAGGAGTACACTCGATTTTTAAACATTTGGAGGTCGTATCTCTGAGTTATATCAGTTCGCTAATTCGCAAAAGAAAATGCCTTGTGAAACGGACTGTGGAAGACCTCCAACCATCAAGATGATGTTGATGGTTATAATAATTTCCTTTCAAATAATATGTTTATTCATAGTTAATTGATAATGTAGGAGTATGCAGCTATAACTTTGTGGTTTGTAGGCATTAGACCTCAATAACGCGACATTAAACAAAATTATTTAAATGTCTTTCATATTCTATTCAGTAGGTCGATTAAAAAGGTTTACTGGTGGCAAATTACAAAAAATATATATTTAGGAAAACGCCATCTAGCGACGAATTACAGAAACCCATATAGCAACTTAGTTGCAATGTATTATGTGTCAACGTAATCTAATAGAGGGCACCAGATGTAACCAGCATTAAAATAAAAATACTAAACTGCTGCTGAAACTCGATTAAAGAGTGAAGCAGTGATAATACAATTCAAAACATAAAAAGTTACGTAAATTTGTATCCTTAGGTAATTCATCGACATAATTTTCATAAATTTGTTATATTTTATTAGAATATTATCTTAATTAAAATAAAATGTTTTGCAGTCGATACTCTTGCGTTTTTCAGTTACCAATACCGATTAAGCTTTTTATAAATTTGACGATTATTTAAATGAGCCTAATCCTTAGGATTTATTTGTTCCAGTTCAAACAATTTGTAAGACTCAAAACATGGCGATTAAAAAACGTGGTGGAGAGTTTCTTGCCCATTCTTCTTGCCCGCTCTACGCCCTTGACTGGTAGTAAATGTAAATTTAGAAACAATTTAACATCTTTTCTCTTGACGTTCATAATTGTACTTGGTTACCTATATGAATAAAGTTATTTCGAGTACGACCTTGTTCATACAAAAATAAGTATAATTTTTTTTTTGGCGGTAATAATTTAATATTACGTATTTAAGAAGTTTTTCTAAACTTACCCTAGCTAACTTATCAGGTATCAACTCATCGAGTTGAGGAGCTTCAGGATCACCTTGTTCCTGCTCCCGTCTCGCCTTGTGATGTTGCTCGCGTTTCACCTGAAATTTAAAATGTAATTGACTTATATATATGACAGGGATAGCAGGTACTTTTAACGTTCATACTTCGCAAGTGGAATTGTTCTGAATATTTCATAATTATGACTACCTTTATGCCTTATAAAGAAAAACGCCATTTACTGAATGCCATTATTAAATAAAAAAGTGTGTGTGTACAAAGTACACATATGTCAGAAGTGAAACTTCTGTGGCAAACTAATCTTTTAGTGTTGTTTCATATTTATACAAATCTAAAAGTTTAGATTTCCGAGACTAAGAGGGACGGAAAAAGGAAGATATGTTAGGAATTTAATAAATTTAATTGTCATTAAAATATTAAGTGTCGAATAATAAATAAATAAAAAACTTAAAAAATATAAAATTGTATTACAATTCCTTCACTAATTAAGCGAAAGGAATTTCGTTTCATCCGGGTGTCCCTTGACACCTCTCAATTTTTTTTATCACTTTCAAATTAATATTGTTATTCTTATTGTAAACCAAACTTCAAAACTAATATATTGTTGTTATTATTATCATATATTATAGTATATTCTTTACGTGACTATACTAAAAATAACACTATAAAAAAAAGCAACATGGCGCGTAACCGAAAAACGTGACGATTTTGTACAACATGTCTCCCATACTTCGATCAAGAAGTTTCACTTCAAATATTTCTGACTTTGACTTGAGGCTGACTTAAACAAGATCATAAGATAATTTTTAAATATATGGACTAAGCTTTTACGCACTTCATTTTCATAGAACAGAAGCCATACGCACAAAAAGATCATTCCTCTTAAACTACTAAAAATATATCATTTGTTAAATATAAGTAAATTATACATAGGTCTACATCGTTTTTATTATACCCTAGTTTTATAAAAATATCTAATAAGATTTTAATTATCTTTTAAAGTTTTCTTCTTTAGTGGCCCAAGCCGCTAATGAAAACAAAATCCTTGGAAGGAGTATAAAGCGTGTATATTCATAAATTAGGATAACACACCTGTACTTGCGCTGCCAGCGCACTTTCCTGTTCCGCTTTGCGTTTCGCTTTCCTCTGCTTGTTTTTAAGTTTCTTCAGTTCTGATGGCGCCAAATTTTCTGTAAACAATGTCATATAATTAGTATTCAATTTAAACCCTTATTATAATACAATACAGCGTGAATTCCTATGACGTACGAAAAATACCGAAAGCAGCGTGCTTAGCATCACAAATATAATATGTCTCATTTTGTTGACATCTCTGTTATGCATAACAAGCGTTGCTCATTTTATGAATGAAATGTTCTATCTGGAACAATCCAGGACATTCTACATTATAATAAGAACAAAGGGATTTTTGTGCTTTATTTTTACTTGTCATGTAGAATATTGTCACAGTAACATTATAGTACAGATTAACGATGCGACACTGATGTTGATTGACGTGTATTGGACGTTTTTGATTTATACATTGTTTTCTTGTATCAAATTTGTATTTTTTTTTGTAACTTTGCAAGGGTTCATGAAGTTACTTTGTTAAGTTAAATTTTAGGAAACACCCTCAAATTAGGTGTCAAATTATAGGGTAATAGAAAAAAAATAATAAATCGAGAACGGAAATCACCGTCCGTGTCACTGTTTTCCACTACCCGCAAACTATTCAAAAATATCTTAATATATATATTTCTTGTGTGCGTGTGTATGTGACTGAACTCCTCCTAAACGACTGGACCGATTTTGATGAAATTTTTTGTGTGTGTTCAAGGGGATCTGGGAATGGTTTAGATTCACAAATCAGCCCGGCAGATGGCACTGCAGTCGGTACTTTCATACTTTGCTTAATATCCTAATCGCTTTAAATATCATGCAGGACAACGTCTGTGGGGTCCACTAGTTTTTTATAAATAAAGAGATTTCAACTCTTCAATCAACAATCTATGCTGGTCAAGACAAAAATCTAATTCTATTAAACGAAACACATTTAATCACAAATTCACCAAATGCATTATAAAAGATAAAAAAATAATATATTTAACTTCAAGATGAATTACCCTTAAGCATAAATTATACAAAAATCATTACGAGTAACGCAATATTAATGACGCGCTGGTTATTTCTAGATCATCTTGGCGTAATCAGAATCCTATTAAATTATAATGACGAGAATCGCATAAACAATTAAGCTAATCGATGCTTAACGGATATCAAATAGAAATTGATATTATCTATTAATCGTTGTTAATATATAATTACTTACGAGGAATGTGTGTCACGGGATTTTTATGTTTTCACTTAACATAATATAATACATAGCTAAGAAATTATATCTAGACAAAAAAGGTACACACATAAAGAGCCAGTTTCGGAAATCATCCCTAACGATAAAATCTACTGATTGGTTGTAGGTACTTTGCTTAATATATATATAAAAATGAAACCCGTTTTCCGTTGTCACGACATAACATGAAAACGGCTTGACCGATTTGTCTGATTCTTTTTTTATAATATTCCTTGAAGTACGAGGATGTTTCTTACGAAAGAAAAATTAAAAAAAATTGAGTGAAAAAGTCTAAAAACTAAAAGTTTCTGTATTCCCATACAAAATATTCGTAATAATACTTAAAAGTCAATTTGAACTTTAATACCATATCATAAAGTTCAAGTGTTAGTGGAGGGGTTCCGGGAAGGTAAATTTTAATTTTTTGACATAATGTATTTGTTGTCTTACCAACTTTCTTTTTTTTTTATCTTACTAGCTAGACCGGTGTCCCGCAGACAGAATAAGTATTTAAAAAAAAATAAAGAATCGTTTGTTAGGCGGTACGATGTTCGCCAGGCCAGCTAGTAGGTAATATAAATATTTTGGATGACATTTTTGCATTTAGAGTACAGTATTAAGATTCTCAACTCAGCAATCGAATGACTTCAAACCGCAAGACACAACTTTAACACCAGGTCATCCGAATTTGCCAAGAACTTGTCCAAATACAAGAAGCAAGGCCAAGATAAGTACCAGAGCTATGCTGAATATAAATATATGGGTTTAAAAAGATCTTCTTTCCAGCCAGATTTTTGTCTGCTGATCAGTTGTAGGGTGGCTCAGGTCGCATTTTTTTATGGATTATAATTTTTTTGTATACATAACAGGGGGAAAAGGGCAGGAGGCTCACCTGATGTTAAGTGATACCACCGCCCATAGACACTCACATTTAAACAGAGGTCTCGCAAGTGCGTTGCCGGCCTTTTAAGAATTGGTACGCTCTCTTTACGACCTAAGTCGAATTGGTTCGGAAATACATCGGTGGGTAGCTGGTTCCAGTTAGTGTTTAATAAACGACGATTCAAAAGGAACTCTAGTTGCTTGAACCACGCTTAGCAGGCTAGAATAATCTCTAATCTATATCAGCAGATAGTCGATAAGTAGGACATATCCTGTCGACTACCGTGATGTCGTCACGTCCGTTGCAATATCAGATACAAGTAGAGCGTGGTAAGAATCGTGATCACCACGTGAGGCCAAGTGCGAACATTCACTATTTAAATTATGAAAATTAAAACCATTTATATATACAATAGAAGTGGAGAAGACTTATTTTTATTAGTTTGATTGTCTTGTCTATGAAGGATTTTTATGACTTTAGTCTATGGATTACGTAAACAAAAGATACCTTTAAACTGCTTTAGTAATTTAACATGATATATTTCTTATCAGCAGCCTGTACTGTCTGTACTTGCATATTATATGTTATGAAACGAAACTTATGAAAAGTGATTGCTGAAAATAAACTTTTAATTAGTATGCTTTCTCGCAAGTGCGAAGATGGATTCGCCAGAAATCTGAGGAACTCCAGCACCAACGTTGGTCATCAAGTGTGGACTGCAGGCGATCCAAAATGGTTCTGCCCGTGGCTAACACAAGATTGACAAAGCAACTTTTAAACCTAACCAGAAATAACCTCAAAACAATTAAAGGGAAAATTACGGGCCATTGTCTCCTTAATAAACACCTTTATGTCCTAGGCGCAACAGACAGCCCCATGTGCAGAGGCTGTTTCAACGCAGAGGAATCAGTCACCCACGTAGTCCTGGAATGCGAGGCTGTGGCTAAACAACGTACAGAAATCCTCGGAACAGTGAGGTCGCTCCGTGAAGCCTGCAAAGTGCCCAGGAAGCTTCTGTGCTTTTGGAAGGAGTTGGGCTGGCTTAGTTAGCCAGGACTCACGCACAACGGACCTAGTGAGCGTCTAAGTGCGGAAAACGAGTCCACAAACCATACCATAGTATGCTTTCAAATATTGTCATTGAATAGATTATAGAACCAACGTTAAAGATGAGTAGAGGTCTTAGACCAATGATTATAGACCCTTTGTTTAATATTCAAGAAAGGTTTACATGCGTTATAAAACCTATTATCAACCTATTAAGTTGTTAATACAAATAAGTAACAATAAAGTTATAATTTTAAAAAAATCTCTTCGTTTTTGTCAAGTTTGCCTATAAGTGCTTGTCATAGCAAATCTTGTATTATAGTTTTATTGTACCAATGTCACAGTGTGCCGAGCGTTAGCAAACTTTTGTAAATTAAATTAATAATTAAATAGTTCCTTAGTTATTCAACTCCTTGGCGGGCAAACATTTATAGGTATCCAATACGAAACAAGAAAATTAAATGGCATAACTCCAAAGTGCATATATTTTCTCACACTCAAAGCTCCAATGAACCGATCTGTCAGTACCCATATTTGTGCATTATTGTAACTAAGCCGGCAAAGTTTCGCAAACTTCAGCGGTATTAAGGGCACCCAGTTAAGGTACACCGCCCTTCAAACCTTTGTCTAAGCATTTAAACGTTGCAATCGATCGAGTTTTGATGGAAAATATGAAATTAATACTGCCCGAGTAGTTTCATACATAAACAAAACAACCTAATCTTTTTTTTAACTTCGGTTTTGGCGGGAAATTTTCATTTGAAATAATGATATTTATATAATACATAGAAAACGCTTGATGATGGATTTTCTTCCATTATACAAATTTTCCCTGCGACTTTTTCTTATTAAACTACTCGCTGGATCGAATTTCACATTTTGTGTGTGTTAAAGTAGATTCGAGAAATGTTGAACATCTAATTGTATTTAGATGAGTTTTTTGTATTTAAGACGCGGACAGGACAAAATCTCTCGAGTCTCGGGTCTGTTAGTAAAACTATAAAAATATTAAATTAAGACATAAGCCGCCCTATTATTATTTTTTTTTTACTAAAAAGCACTAATGAATTTATCATTAGTACATAAACATCATTCCTTAAAATATTTAAAAACTAAAACATATAATAAATATGACAAAAGCTTCTTAGAGCAATAACGAATAATTGATTTTGTTTTTTAGCTTATAAACAAACACAAAAATTAAACAAACACAATTCATGTCTATATATCGTATTCGTCGACCGTGACTACCACACACGACACCCAACGCATTCCGGAGTTGGGCATATAAACACTGACATATCGAGAACATAAATGTCATATATTTACGACATAATATCAATTTCATGAAAAAATATATATATATACTAGCTGAGCCGGCGAACCTCGTACCGTCTAACAGCTTAAGTAGCTGAACTTAATTTATGGTTTTACGAAAGTAAAACAATTAATACAAAATTGATATTAAGATAACACTAAGAAATTAACACAAAAATAAGCGTCCTGAACGCACGCATCAATATTTGACTACCAATATATAATATCAATACTTTTTTATTAGGAGCCGTTCAAGTATTATGTCACTATGGGGGGGGCAATACTTGAACGGCACTGACATTATTCCACATTTTTAAAATATGTCATTCAAGTATTATGTTACGAATTTGGATCCCAACGAACTTGGGGGGGTCCCTCTTGTAAAACGTTACTATGCGGGGCGGGGATTGAATTTAACGCGTTATTGTTAATATTATTTTCGACTTTCCAGTACTTTACAGCACATTGTTAACAATATATAGTATAAAGAGTCACTGGGTGGTCACGAAACGTTTTACTATTGAGGAGAAAAACGTTACACGATACACGCCGTCAATTATTTGTGTCTAAAGCAAACCGGTTTCCTCACGATGTTTTCCGTCACCGTTC